AATGTCTTTGAATCCCCCTTTAAATGTTAATCTTATGCCAGCGCTTATAGAGACAAAGTCAACTGTTCTCTCCAAGCCATACCCTAAACCTACTGCCCCGCACTCTGAATTGCAATCAAAAGGATTTGTTGCTTGTTTTGGGGTGGAAGAACAGAGAGAAAAACATCGGCGTTACTTCAATAAACACTTCAGCTGTTGATTCTGCTTAGCCAGAAATACAATTAAAAATATGTGTAGCATCACCTGCCCAGCGTGGTGGCAACCTTCTGGCCACCAGCATGTCCCCAGCTGTGTCCCGCTCGTGCTCCCCGTACAACAAATAGTAGGAGAACTGCTGGAATCAAGGGGAGACTCGGAGCCTGGCACGCTTAGTTCCCAGCTCGTAATAAAGGCAAGGGCGCACACGAGAAAAGGGGGGTCAGCCCATATATTCTCAGGGGTATAAGCACCCTGTTTACATCCAGCTGCCATGATCTGGCACTAAAGTCGTAGCAGTTGGCAATGTTTCCAGCTGCAGGAAACTAGTGATTTTAGAAAGCATCTGCACCGCAGACGGCTCTTCGCCTACTGAATTTAATGGAACAACCTAACACCAAAATTCAATGAAAAATGTCCATCTTTAACGATTGTCCCGATTTGGCAGGGCACCGTAAGAAATGCTTAATTTTAAGACCACGCTTAAACTCTCTGCTGAACATGAACTGGACATTTCTGAAATGAAACACGTGCCTAAAGGACTTGCTAAATTGGGGTGCAAAGAAACGAGGTACAAGGCAAATCCTTTTGCAGCTCTGGCTCAGAAAAGCAGAAAAGTGTATTCAATTATAAAAGTAAAGTTACTGAAAAAGCTTCCTCATTTGAGAGGCACCACGGAGATTACAGCACAGACTTCACCAATTACTTATGTAAAATCAGAACAATAGCAAGTGATAATCATGGATTACAAAACATTCATAAAACCCTCCTGCTACCACTGAGTTATTCCTCATGTGTGTTAATTAAATCCGTTTAATTTTGGAAATACAGACTTGTACTGACTTACAGTTTAACATACCGAGCCACCTGGCTGTTACCAGATATTAAGGAAGAGCAATCCCAGACCTGTGCAGAAGTGCTTTAGAGCAACAAGCAAGCAGAGAAACAAGCAAATGCAAAACTAGTATTAAGAGTAAAAAACTCAGAGACTCTTACAACTCTGAAACTTCTCCTTTGCAGGGATTAGAAAAATGCAAGAGTTTTTTTTATGGGCTTTACTTTTCTCTTACTACCCTTTTTCAGGGAGCATAAATCACTCTCAGCTTTGAAGGAACTACAAGCATTTGGCTTTACAGAAAAAAAATGATACTTTTGTGCTACTAGACAGAACTCTGCTCTGTAGAAATGAAATCAGAAATAAAATCAGTGTTTGTATGTTTTACAAAACGGTACTTCCGACTTCTCTGCAATTCTGCACGCTCGCTATTTCTTGGAGCCATTTTCCTTGCCTGACTTAGAGAGCACTGAAGAACATGGAGCTGGCAGGCAGATTATATTACTACACCGAACTACATCTGAAAACATCAACTACTGCAAAGTGCAGCTGTCCTACTGCACAGGCCAAGTTACTCACACGGGGCGCACTATACCCCCCTGTTTAATAAACTGTGCCGCCTCTTCAGAGCCAGCCGTTCCCTCATGAGCAGAGCAGCCGAGCTCTGCCAACGCCCCGCAGCCGGCATTGCCCAATTTAAACACCGGGAAGTAACAGCCTTCAAGGAAGGACCCTTCGCTTTCAAATCTGCTCCTGCCAGACTCAGAAATTGTTGAAACTCGGAGAGGGCTATGCAACCTGCCTAGTTTCCAAAGTTTTTTCACGCAAGCAAAGATAATTTATTTAAATTGTATTTAAAATTTGTATTTAAATTTGTATTTTTTAAAAAAAGCCCTATTAACCAAGCTGCTAGCAAGCAAACAAGAATGTTCCCAGAGAAAATCCTCGTTTTATTTTCTCCTAAAAAACTCCTGCCCTTATGCATCTGTCCTAGTCCATTTGCACTGCAGGACAATGTTTACTGTGCAGTTTTAGTCTCAAAGATAAAACAAGCACCCTCAGGAATGATACACAACCGATGAATAAACACTGCTATCGGCATCCTGCTCTCCATCTTCAGCGACCTACGTGTGCTCTATCACAGCTCCTCAGTTTGGTCTCGAAGGAAGCAGCGCAGGCACCTTTCCTGCCAGAAGATGCAAGAGCCAGTGCACAAGTTCGAGAGTACAGAAAGGAATACTTCCAGGGTTGCAAAATTTAAATTGGAAGCGTCTTTCATTTTTTTTACACGAAGAACTGCAACAGCTGAAAAGGGAAAGCACATCTGATGAACAGAAATTCAAAATGTCACCAGTGTAATTAGTTTTTGAGAAAAATATTTACACTGCAGCTGAATCGAGCTGCTTTGCAGCCGAACCCTGGCAAAACTGCAACAACGGAGAAGGTTTTGTGTCTGCTTTTTAATGATTGTATCCTAATTACAGCAAAATTTCACCCCTTCCCAGTGCTGGCTGGGAGAATCATTGTAAAATGCAGGGTCCTGCAAATTAGCAAGCAAGTGAACAATAAAATCTCCCCAAGGATAATGCATTACAAAACACACTGCATTCATTTATTTGGCGAAGTGCAGTTTAATTACTTGTAAAAATAATGCCTCCTTTGTACGGGCTCTCACTAGCATGCGTTGCTGCTCTGTATTTGCTGAGTGGTACGAGTTGCGTGCCAAATTCGTGTGCATGGATTATACAGCGTGCACACAAGCAGAGCGCAGAAAAGAGGTTGTACAGTATCCATTGTGTTTTGACAGCACATAAATGATATATACTCTCTTCATGGAATTTGGCTGCTTTTCTATATTTTGAAACTCAATATTTCTCTTCTCAGTAGGGATTTTCAAGCCTGAATCCCATCTCATTGCAGAAAGCGCTAGGCAAAATAAAAATCTCTGCTGGGAAATCAGGATGCATCCATTTTGCAGCCGCCACCCTCCCGTCAGGAAGGGCTGTGGCGGTCCCCATGTCACACGTGCTCCCACCGCTCCAGCCAGACCCGAGCTCGTAGCACGGTGCTTCACCACCATCCCACCCATTGAAAAAGGGGTCCACAACTTCCAGCGTCCACAGATTTCCGTTTGCAGGGCTTCATGGAGATAGCAGGGTTTTCAGAGTCACGGGATATATGGCATGGCTGTCAGATGTTTATACATTATATTTCCACCCAGCAGTTCAAGAGGAAAACTAACCCATAATGAACAGTTTAAGGATATACTAAGAACAACAGGATCGGGGATCTTGATGGTAACATTACTGAAGTTGCTAGTGTCTTATTTTCAAGGATGAACTGTAAAGGTCATCAGAGAAATCCCTTGGATTACACCAGCAGCACCCGTTAAAGGGAATGGCACAGGGCAATGCCATGGAATCCAAGTACGCTTTTTTCTTTCCACTGAGTGAGAACTGACATTCCGGTATTGGAACCGGCTGTGAAATCCTCCACCAAATACATGAATAGCTGTTGTAATAGTTTTGTTTACTTCCCATTTCTTTTTAAATTACCAGCTCTACTCATATTTGGACTGCAGTATTTGCTGTGAGCTCTATATTCAAGTTTTGGCCAACTTAAGCTTTTTATAACAAAGTTTTGGCCAACTTAAGGTTCTTGACAGTATGTAAAGTCTGTTAACATGGTTAGTCTCACCTTGGAGAACTTTGCTGCAGTTATGGGATGAATTTGCACATTCCAATTTTACAAGACAGTCTGCAAGAGAGTTGTGTGTTTTCACAGTATGACTGCTGAACTCGATGGAGAAGAAAGTGTCATTGTCATCATCTCCGTATTAATCCCAGCCAAGGGTGGCAGAAAAAATGCTTAGAGCAAGAGCATAGCTCTGGTGCCACCCTGAACCTTCTCCTTCACCCTCACTTTGCATGCGGTTGGCTGAATTGTTAAAGATGAAACTTAAATGCAATCACTCCAGAAACACAGATCATATTTTTGCCCTCTAACACCCTGCTCAACAACTATAGAAGGCAGAATAATTTACAATTCGTAACAGAGAAATTTTGCATGATAATATGGATGACACAGCAGACTCCTAAACATGACATTGGGTCATTCAACATAAACCCCAAGTATCTGAAAATTCAATTGAGAAAAACAAAGTTAATTACAAAGCTTAAGAGAACCAGGCATCAGAATAACACACATGCAGACCAAACCTTTCCTCCTTTACAAATAGCCCCCTCAGGACTTATTTAAGCTCTTTGTCTTTATTAGCCTCAGCTTTTAAAGCTCGATCTCTGAACATTCGCTATTCAAAAATAACTTGCCATCTTCTGAAGGTTTCCTTGTAAAACAATGCAGTAAATGCTCACGCAACTAGTTACTTGCTAGGAGTGAGTAAGATCTGGCTGCTTCTCATGACCGCTCAAGAGAGAACCATTTCTGCTATTAAATACTTGTATTAATAACCTAAATTTTTTACCTATGCTGGTGAGATACCTATTCTCTACAAGATGCTGTCTTACTTTAATACAATTATCATTATGTCGTTTGACCAAAAAACTCCAAATCTCCAAAGTATGAACACAACAGTCAACCACCACCACGGAGACTGCTAGCTCCCCTCTTCTGGGCAGCTGTGCTTGTTCGAACAAAAGCTGTTTCACTTGTGTTTGCATAAGGTTTGTCTTAATTAGTCAGTATTACAGTGACTCACTTTGGGCTTTAAGAGACAGCTGGAAGCAGAACACTGTGCAACAGAAAAGGAGAACATAACAATATTATTGCATTTCCCCTAAACCATAAAGACCTGCCCCCATTGCTGCTAGCAAGAAAGATAAAAGCAAAATTACATAAAAAGTGCCTTTAAGTGTAGAGTATGGCTCTTAGACACTATTCAGTGATAATGTACAGCAAAGGCAAGCTTGATACAGAATGGAAAACTAGCAGAGGAACCATCAAATCATTCTTACTCGGTCAAAAGCTGGTGCAGCTTCTGGTAGCCCCTCTCCAAGGCCAAGCTCACAGGCGTTGCCCCTTCGTTGTTGTGGATGCTGAGAGCTCCTCTTCCACCTGGCTGCTGGAGCAGAAACCACGTCAGCCGCAGCAGACCCAGCCTCACCGCAAAATGCATCAGCGTTTCCCGAGGGACATTCTCTGGGAAGAAAGAAGAGGGGAAAAAAAAAAAAAAAATGAAATGGGAATTTGTAGGCTGCGGGTTAGGTGAATGCCATATCCCCACCTCCCAGCCACACCACACTCAATGTGTGGCATGGAGCTGACAGCCCAAAAGCCAAGGAACCTGCAGCACCTGGAAAAACATGCTGGCTGCCAATACCCAGGGGAGACCAGTACTTCAAAGTCAGGGACACTCTATGGTGGGACTGGAAGTGCTCAGGACCTCTCAGGGTGAGACTGACCACAGAAGTCAATGTGAAAAAACCCACCGTTTTATAAGCAGCCACGGCAACCACCAAGTTGCAGCACTTCCAAACAGAACCTGGCTTGGTCAGGTGGGTTTTTCCAGATGTTCAAGCCTTCTCCTCACACACCCAGGACCAGGTTTTAGGAACAGACAAGTTTTGTTATTTAACAGGACGCTGATTTGAATCAAGGCATGAAAAAGATCAACTACATTGGAAGCGCAAATCTAAAGCAGTTATAAAAGAGAACAGTTAACCTCTCATGTAGACACAAAAAGGTGAGGATTTTGCTCTCCTGGCTTGATTATGCTTCAAAACAGCTTTTCCTAGCTTAATACAGTAGCTCTATCAGTTTGAGTAGCAGCATTTATAAACTAGCAATCTCCACTGCTGCTTTTCATGTTTAATAACCATGACCTTCTAATTTGGTAAAAGTCACTTCTGAGCCTAAGCTTTCATCACAAAAATATCCCCCTACTCTAAAAGCTGCAGCCCTAGAATGATGCTCTGAAAAGCTTCAACCAGAAATGAGCTCCAGATGCACTGCTGAAATATAGAATTTGCAGATGAAAGCCTGTTACTTCTGTATGAAAGGCAAAAGCATTTGGGTTTAAAAAAAAAAAGCGAGAAATAAAAATTTGTTCTTTTAATTAACAAGATTTCAGTATTGACTGGCAGCAGCAACAACAACAACAACAAAACACCAACTAGGTCTCGGTAAACCATGCCAATGAGCACACTTGGTATAATACCTTTAATATCATAGCAGTGACTTATTGGGTTGTTAATTTGGTTGCCAGCCAAACCTATACAGCAGGTTTAAAAATGCAAGTACATAATGGCTTTAGGATTTAATTAAGTATTTTTATCCTCAAGAAGTATGCCCCAAGAGAAATCACTTCTTCAAAGTGTTGTTGTTTTTCTGGCTTAGTTGCTTTCTTAAGGGACATCATTAAGACCTTCAGTGAAAAACAAAGCAAAAATGGGGAGTTCTCCCCTGCCTGACACACAATTTTTCCTGACATTTTGGATCAGTTTCTGAAGAACTAATCTGTATTCAAGAACCAAAAGCGTTCTGGCACAGTCTGTCTTCCAAATGACTCCAAACTAGGTCTCTGGGCTACAAACCAACCCTTCCCCCCTAACCTCCTCTTGATTACCGTAAAGCAAAACCATGCTGTCCTGAATACATGAGCATGTCTGAATGGAGGTTCCAGCTGATCAGAGAAAAAGGGAGTAGCTGAGCTCACTCAGAAACAAATTCTCAGCCTGTGGGAGAGTAATGACAAGGATTTTGGTATTAAGTGCTATGGAATGTAATGCTTTAGAAATAAACAACGCAACAAGGTAGTTAATCCACGGTTGTCACAATCTTGGACTTAATAATGAAAAATTATATAGACACTATATAGACAGACATAAAGGAAAGGCTACTGATGAGGTTGCAAAAAGGAGAAAGTGATGATACATGTGGGACTTATCTAGAGTGAAAGCAGATGCCCAAGGTTTCACTCAATGAACTTGCACAATACTCCTACATTACCTGTACTAGCACACTGGCAGAGTCAGCTAGCAGAACTAAAGCAGTACAACTCTTCCTACTGAGATGTAGGAAGCACAGAAGCACTTCTGTTACAGCAAACAACTGCTGTCCAAATAAAGAATGTGTTGCACTGGTCTGACCACATCTGTTCTAGTACAGGATCTCCTGTTCTAGCTGCTTTGTTGAAAGGAAAAATCATCTTCCTAACTGGAAGTGGACTTCCTAACTAAAGTGGACAGCCTTGCACCAAAACTGAGCAGCATAGACCTGCAAAGCATAAGCACGGGTTCCTGGACCAAAATGCTTCCTCCTCCTTCAGCTGAGCGCCTTACAGTTAGGTAGAAGCATCTTCTAGTCACCAACTCATGGTTCAGCAATAAACACAACTATCAATTGCAAGCTTTGCAAGATACAGGGAAGTACTCATCTTGTCCCTGATCCAACTGGATGCCCCTCTCTGCCTCGTAGTTCCATAGATGAAATGCCCCCTCCCAATTGTCTCAAATGCCCATCTAATGTAATCTGCTCATATGACTGCAACTTCTGAAAATCCCACCTTTTTCCCATTCTTTTAAAACAATCTTCTTTATCATCAAATTAGTGGACAAGCAAATTAGTGTCCCAGCGTTTGGATGGAGGTGTCTACAAACACAACTGAACTGAATGTGGCTGTGCTCCAATGCCTTTGAGCACCGACGACGTGCACAGAAGATCTGTACGAGAAGACATGGAGTGTTGCCATCCAGAGCATATTAAACGTACAAACTCACTATCCAAGTCTATTTGGAAAGATCTGTCTAACATATAAACTGGCATGAGGCCATTCTAACAGATGGGCACAAATGATGGCAGCAAAGAGACAAAGTACTGTATATAGAACAACTGCAGGGGCCCCAGGCAATGGCTTCAGGAGGTTTTGGAGTGTGCAAAACTTAACATGGCTACAGTTAAAAGGCGTGTGCCATCTGTTGGCTGGATTAACTACTAATATATAATGAAAAATACATCTGTTGGTGTACAGTGTTGCTCAGAACAAGACAAGAGCTGGTCTGTATCAAGTACAGGAGTGTTGCTGGATGGAGACGGGAGGAAGACGGAGGGATGAAGCTTGTAGCACCAAATGTTGGAAATTCAGTCAATTATTTCAAAGTTTTAATGCCCGTCCCAGACATGGAAGAATAGCAAAAGCTTTAACATCCAATAGCTAGAGCTTCTTCTCCTATCAAGCATGAGCTCCTCGTCTTAAAATGGCTGTCCTTTGAATGTCAACAAAAAGCTTCTTGTAATTAGGAAATTGTGGAAATACAAGACACATGATACTGGAAAGGCAAAAGTTGTTTTGTTCCTTTCTCATTTCCTAGTAATAGGCAAGAGTTGAAACATATGATTATTGTCCCATAATGGCAGGGCACTCTAATCCAGCTGGCAAAACATAAGACTTTAAATATATTATTTTTATGTATTTTTTTTTCAGCTGTGACACATGAACAGACAGTTTATCTGGGTAACTAAGGCCAAAATTTCCATAGAAGACTGTCAAATGTACTTTGCTAATGGTAAAGGATTAAGTTTTAAGGTGCTATTAGCACAAAACAAATAAACATTGAAGAAAAAAAAAAGCTTAGGTATGACACATCCAAAAAGACACAAACTGTTCTCGAAGTAAAAACTTTCATTTTAATCCTGATTAAATAACAGAAAAAAAAAAAAAAACACCTGTTCCTTTTTAAAGATCACTCTTTATATAGAGCAACCCACACCTAACTGCTCAGTTTATCCTCCATGCCCTGAGACATCTCATCAAGGAACAAACAGCCATTGACTGGCTAGCATCTCTTGCTAGTCTTCCTGTGACGGTGACCTTCACTTGGTTCTCACCCAAAATCACATATACTTGGCAATTTTGAAATCTACCATCAAATCTGGTCTCAAAATTTTGTTTTCTGCTGGAAATGTTCTCACTGCTCAGATCAATCCTTGAGAAACACGGGGAGCAAAAACCAGAAACAAGCTATCACTGAACGCTGAGGTCCTAGAAGTAGGCTCCAGCAGACAACAGTACCGAAGAAAGGTCAAGGCAAAGATGCTGTGTTTGGAGTTATGAGTTCAGTCAATAAAAAGATGTGTGGGTAATTCTTCTTTAATTTTATAAACAAGACATTTTTCAAAGCACACCAAAGGATCTTCATATCCCTGTTCCCACTAATATCAAAGGGAATAGAAACTTTCTCATGCCAATGATTTCTCAGCCACAGACTGAGCAGTACATCTGAGTACTAAGCAGCACATTTCAGACACTGCCTGAACAAGAATTATTTTCTGCTTCCCATTTTCCACTGCAGAGGGCATTAAACTTACGAATGGGAAAGACTTTTTACATCTTATCAAGCTGAACAGACCACTTTGTGCTGTTGGCACAGAAAAGATCATGTCGATTTATACCATACAGTCCTTTATCAGAGGGCAGAGAAGGTGGTGAGCAGCAGACTGGAAACCCAACAAAAAGAATACCTGTAACTATTACGCTGAAAGGGTTTAACAAGAAACTATAAAAAGAGTGCAGCAGATGAACAGATTAAAGCTTTATGTCTGAAGAACATCATCAGCTGCATATCTTTAACATCCTCCCATGGAAAAAAATGTTAGCTCCTAATAATAAAATTTCCTTCTAGCTATTTCTGAAACCTTCTTAAAGGTTTTTTAGGCTTTTCGCTTTTTTCTTTAAAATAAGGCACTTTTTTTGTTATTTTCTCTCTTCAGACATTCTCCCTTTCTGTAAAAAAAAAACCAAATTAATGATCTCAAATCATGGTGACACTCATGTGGTGGTGCACACTGAAATCCTACTGGGTTTGTATGTAAAGTTATTAAACCCATAACCCAAATCCGTTCAGACTATTTCAAACCAGGACAAAGCATTTCCCTCTCCACCCACCTCCTACCTGGCGAGCTCACGGGGTTTCATTTCTCAAGCAGTACTTACTGCACATGGATGTTTATTCTGCAGCATTTCTGGGAAGCTGTACGTATTCAAGATGTCAGTAACTGTGTTCCTAAAGTTAAGGAGCTGTTAAATGTTTTATCTAATGAGATGGTCTCCTGGTTATCTACCTGTAATCATGGCTGACTATCTCACAGCTCATCAAAGGGATGGCTCCTTACTCTCCCACGAGGAACGGCTCCGTACAGTG